AGAGCAGCTGTGGCACGGCAGCGGGGCTGGGTTTTGGTAGGAGCTGAGCTGCTGTGCAAAGGCTGGAGCTGGGGGGAGGAGGCAGGGGCTTTGGCAAGAACAGCCCCCCACGCTGCAGGCAGCTCACACCATGCTGCCCGTGGCCACCACGGCCACCAGCTCCACGTGGCAGACGGGGACAGGCCCCGTCCCTGGCCAAGTCCACGCTCAGTCCCAGGCAGAGTCCAAGGGCTCCCAGGGGCAGGGAGCAGGGCTGGGGGGCTGTGCACCAGGGCCCCCCAAGCACTCAGAGTCTCCTCTCCACAGGCTGCTGCAGGCACATCTCGCTGCCAGCTGAGATGATGGGTAGGTGATTGTCCATGTGGTAGCTGATGAGGTGACTGACACTCTCGAAGCGGTGGTCTTTCGTCCGCACCTGGGGGGGCCAGGGAAGGGGCACTCGAGAGGCTGCTGATGGCTGCAGGAGGCCAAAGCCACCAGCCTCCATGGGCTTAGCACCAACTGGAGGGGAACAGCCCTCACCATCCCCCAAGCCAGCCCAGAGGCATCTCCCCCAAGAAGTGATAGGGAAGCCCGATGCCCTGGTGGCTCTTGTAACCACCAGGGCCCCCCCCAAGCTGTGCCAAGCTCTGTCCTCAGGGCGTTACGTGGACTCACCACTCCCTCGGGATCGACGAGTAGCAGATGCTTGGGCTGCCCACCCTGCAAGCCGGTCAGCACGTATTGGCCCGGGGTGGTGGTACTTTCTCGCACCAGGAAGTCTCCATTCACCTTCAGCAGCTTCTCGGCCTCCTTGCGGTTCATCTTCCCATGGTACCAGGGCTCCCGTCTCAGCTGCTCCTCCATGGAGGCCAGCACCTGGGCAGGGGGTAGCCCCATGGGCACAGACGGGGGGACACGCAGGGCATCTTCAAAGGGCTCTGCAGGGAGAGAGGAGCCAGGGGGGACCGTGACCGACCTCGCTGCCAACCACCCCCAGCCCAGACACAGCTGCAGTCGCAGTTCCACTCACTCATATCGAAGAGGTCTCTCTGGGTGCTGCCGTTGGCCGTTGCGGGGGTGCCAGCGGCCGATGCTTGGCGTGTCTTGTCCATGTTCTGCACGTTGACATAAGATGGGTCATCAAACAGGTCTGTGCGGCCGGATGCACCCACCGGAGCCGGGTATTTCTCTCTCCCTGCTACCAAGAGCACTGTGGTCAGCAGAGCTCCAGCCTGCCTCGGCCCCAACACCAGTGCCCACTGCTGGAGCACTTGGGGTCAAGGAAAACAGATGGGGACCGGCCACATCCATCGTGTTACCTTGGGCAGGAGTGTGCTGCTTCCGGGGGTCATACTCCCCACCAGACGACTGGCCGACAGGCTGCAGGGAGAGGTGGAGGGTGAGCCCCACTGCGCTCCTCACCCCTTCCCACTCCCAACATCCTGGGCTGCTAGAGGTGCCAGGGAGTCATGTGCCACGGCTCTCATGGCAGAATAACCCCAAGTGAAGAGCCCATGGTCCCACTGGGGTCCCTGCATCTCCCTTGTAACATGGAGCCTTCCCACAAGGATGCACCCAGAGCCTTACCAGCGTGGCCCCCAGGTGATTGGGGGTCTGAGCAGCCCCATCCCGCAGCCGCATGTCCACAACCCCCCCAATGGGAGGCTCCTTGCCAGGGAAGTCATTGTAGTACTGGTGATCCGGGGCTGGTTCCTCCTCTTCCTCATCCCAGGCAGAGCCATCAAACCCCGCCATCCTGGGAGGGCACAGCACAGATGAGCAGCTGACAGCAGCCAGGACTGCATCCCCACTCCAAAACCAAACAATCTCAGACACCCTCTCACCTTCATCCTTCCCACACAGCCCTACCCTTACCTGTCGTGCGGTGTCACCAGCTTCGGGGGGTTCTTCAGGTACTGCTTGAACCGCAGCTCAAAGGCCTGCCCAATGGTGCTGATTACATCCTGCGCCAAGCCCTCGGGGCACTCCAGGATATGGCAGGCTGGGGAAGGAATGGTGGGATGGGAGCACGGAACCCCAATGTTAAGTTCTCCACCGCTCAAGCCTGCCCTATGCACCCCAGAGCTTCCTCATGGGGGACCCAGTGCCTCCCCACCACATTGAGCTGTGCCTAAACATCCACGAAACAGCTCTGTCATTTAGCACCTCAGCAGCAGCCTCACCTCTCTGATTGACGGGATCTTTGGCAACATAGGCGACGTACTCTGCTGTGTCCTGCGGGCAAGACACCAGTGGTGAGACAGAGCTGCCAGGGAACGCGGTGCCTGAGACTTTGGGGAGAGGGCAGGAGAGGCACTGATCCCTAGCATGGGGCAGGGCATGCATGGACAGGGACTGTGTGTACTCACCGGGTCTCCCCCAGAAGCAAAAGAGATAGACTGCATGTGGTGGTTGGCAATGATCTGAAAGGCAGAGAGTTCGTTGGATGCAGCCAGGAGCTCCTCTGCACCCAGCCAGAGGCAACACCTCCTGCCTGTCACACTCCTCCCGGGGCTGGCCTGGCACAGGGGCTTAACAAGCCTCCAGAGCCCTGGTTATGAGCCACAGACCACCAGGAAAAGGGCTGGGACACCAACAGGGCCACTGGGAGCAGGGTGAAAGCCAGGAGACCTGTCCCCAGGCCAGGGGATTTGGGTCTCTCAGTCTCCAGGACAAATCCTGCCAAGCATGCAGTATATTGCTCCAACCTCTTCACCCTCAGGGACTGGCAGGAGGTGGGCATTCAGCAGGTCACACAGCCCACCCAGTCATCCCTTAGGGAGGCTGGGGACATCCCCTGCCCCAGCAGGGCCCGGGGTGGGGGACACAAGGATTCCTGCTTGTCTAAAGCCAGCCAGCCACCCAGCCCCTGGCACCTCCCCACTCTCACCTGCTTGCAGTCAGAAGCCATGAGGTTGAGGCTGCTGGTGGAGATGGTCAGGGTGATGGGCATGCCGGCAAACTTCAGGTTGCTCTTGCCCAGGATGGAGTTCAGGGAGCGGCCGCAGGGCTGGGGACAAACAGCACCATGGGGAAGGGGTTCCCCAGGCCGGACACAGTCTGGCTGCGAGGGGACAGGGCACATCCTGCTGCCCTCCACAGCAGAGACAGGGCATCTCGTCCTCACCACCGCTCCTGCTGAGCTCCGCTGGCCTGAGCCATGGTGGGAGATCAGAGCCTCAGCCTGCCCAGCCTGCGCATGGCCAGCTGAGCTGGGATCCGGCCCTTGGCCCCATGCCCAGATGGCCGAGCATGCTCCCCCCAGCAGCTCCCCAGCCCAGCCTCACCTTCCTCCTCCGCACAGCTCCCTTGGCACCGGGCACAGCCTCACACACCAGCCCGATGGCCTCCCTGCAGGGAGCACAGTGGGATGTCAATCCACCCCAGCACCTGCCCTCCCCATTCCCCCGTGACCCCCCAACCACGGGACCAAGGACGCGGGGACCAGCACAGGCAGAAGGGACAGGGTGACAAATGGGAAGCCCTCGGGCAGCGCTGGCTGGGGCTCTTCAAGCAGGGAAAGCATGCTGGTGTTAATATTTGATGGGGCTGCAGGCAGCCTGGCCCCCACCAAAAGCCGCACATGCCACCAGGGGCTTGTGTGGGGCTCAGACCCACCCTGCCCCAAAAGCAGCAGCCTGTGGGGAGGGGCAGAGCTCACCTGGTGACCTGCGTCCTGGTGTTGAAATCCAAAGCCCTCATGGACTGGAGGACTTCCACGCAGCCCATGTACTGGGGAAGAGAGCAAGGTCAGCCTGGGCAGCCCTGGGGTTTGCTCCCCACAGAGCTGGGGAGGGGGGCTAGGGCCCCAAGCCCTCCGGCTCCACAGCAGTGGCCTCCCTGGGAATCCCACTGCCCACCTGCCACCCTCAAGGAGCATGTGAGGAGGTCCCCAAATCCTCATCATGACCCTCCCCATGCCCCCCCAGTCCCCAGTACTCACCCGGACGTGGTAGGAGACCCCAGGGCCCATGACCTTGTCATCCGGGTGCAGCCAGCCACGGGTGGGCTTATTGACGAAGCTGCCGTGGCGGGTCCATTCATCACCCCCCAGCTGGCCGCCTTCCACCCGCGTCTTCTTCCCGCAGCTCAGCTTGTTCATATCCTGGGAACAGACAGCGACAGGTCCCGCTGAGTCGGGGCCGGCAGCCCCCCCCGGTGCTGGTTCCAGCATCTCTGCAGGGCTGGGCTCCCCCGGGCTGCTGCCAGCAGAGGAGCCCCGCAGGCTGAGCAGGTTGGCGGGGTTCGAGAGCTTCAGGTTGGCCATTTTGGGGAAGAAGGAGCAGAGGGTGGTGGGGCTGTCCTCTGACTCAGGTGAGAGCTCTCCAAGAGGTGCCGTGGGGCCGAGGGAAGAGGAGGACAGGGAGCCAGGCAGAGACCGCATGCCTGTGAGGGACTCCACTGGGGAGGCTGGGACCCCCACGCCCCCCACAGCCTCCTCCAGAGAGGAGACGGACTCGTTCCGCAGGTGGCTGTATTTGCTCTTCTGCAAGAGATCCATGCTGGAGAGAGGCGAGAAGGGCCAGGGCCGTCCCGTCCCGTCTGGCAGCAGGGTGGAGGCAGCCAGCCGGGTCTCATGGGGGCCCCATGGAGAGTCCAAGCGCCTGCAGCCACTGGGAAGCCACCCCCAAGCAGAAGCCTCGGGCGAGCTCTGCACCAGGTCCACGCCAGCCTGGCATGGCTGGCAGGGAGAGCCGGCCCCAGGACACCAGGCAGCAGGTCCAGGGGCTGCCCGGCTCTGTGCCGTTGCAGCTGATCGATCACGATTGGCGTCAGCAAGGATGCACGGATCCGGCCAGACGGAGAGCGACCCCACGCTCCCACCACGGCGGAGAGGAAAATGGGGCTGCGGCGACGCCCCAGGGAGCTGCTGGCACAGGGAGGGGGGGCTCAGCACACTTGGCCCCCAGCCTGGAGGTACTCAAGCCCTACAGCCCCATGTTGCTCCTGCACCGAGCCGGCAACAAATCCCATCGTCTTCAGCTGAGGCCGGATCCAGCCCCCTCTGCCCCACCGCCGGGTCCAGCACGGCTGCCCTCCACCCCAGCCGACTCGCTTCAGCCCCTGCGCTGCCCTGCTGTCGCCAGCCGCTAAGAGGAAATCAAAAGCATTAATATTTAAAGCTCTGAGACAAGGCAGCCACAGAGCGCATCCAAGCCCAGCCCAGCCCCACTCTGAGCACTGTCCAGGAGCGAACAAGGTCCTTCTGTGGCGGCCAGCGCTACGCAACCCACGTGCTAGCGGCAGGCAACTGTCGTTGGCTCCCCAGGCTCTGCTGGGGGGAGCGGCGCCCGAAGCCGGGGGGGCTGCAATGCTGAGATGCTGCCAGTGCTTGCAGCTGCCTGGGATGCGAGGACATCCAGTCCTTCGTGAACGCAGCTCCGGGCATGGATCCCGCCCGGAGGGCTGGTGGAAGAGGAGGATGCCCAGGAGCAGGATACAGGTGGGCTGTCGGCAGGGCTCAGCACGGGCCCCCGGCCGCGGTGGGGAGCCGGCAGGAGAGGTGGCTGCTGCTAATTGCTGCTGCTCCTTCCCGCATCGCAGCCGGCACTGAGCAGTGACTCCTCCCGTGAGAGGAGAAGGGGCTGCCGCTAATCGGAAGGGCCGTGCTGACTCACAGGCGGCGGGGCAGGCTCTGCCCGCGGCGGGGGCTGCGTGCAGGCTGGGGCGTAGCGCAGGAGGGGCTCCTGGCGAGGGGTGGGGACCCAGTGCCTATCTGGAGCGGAAGAATCAAGGTCACAGGCGGCGCTAGCAGGAGCAGGCAGTGAGAGCGTGCCAGGGGGCAAACCTCGGCCCTTTCTACCATGGGGAGCTGGGCAGAGCCGCCACCGGTGGGTAGGGGTGTCAGGGGCAAGTCTCCACTGCTTCGCCCCGTCCTTGACACACCGGCACACCAGTGGGACCTCGGCCCAACCCAACCGCACCGCCCACGCCACTCTTCACAGCCTCGTCCACCTCAGCCTCCTGGGGGTGCAAGAGCTCTCCCCCCTTCCACCTCCCGTGGGCTGAAGCAGGGATTTCAGGCAGCACCGCAGCACCCAACCCCTCTGACCCACCACGGGCCAGGGCCTTCCCAGGCACCAGGCACTCTGCAAAACCAGCCACCGAGCCAAAACCGGGTAAATCCAGCCTAAGGGAAGGGCTCTCCCTGCTTGGACCCGCCGCCAGGCACTGCTCAGCCCTGGTGGCTGCCCGCCCTGCTTCCCAAACACTGGCACACCGCCACGGGGACAGGGAAATGGAAGCCAGGACGGAGCTGGAAATAGCCTCCTGCACGGTGCAAGGGGCCGTGGCTCACAGCGGCGGGTCCATCACCCGCCCCCCTCCTGGTGCCAGAGCATCACCTCGGCCGCACACACCGCCTCCACAACCACCAGCCCCCACCTCAGCCACTGGCAGTGGTGGTCCCTCGGGCGCAGAGACTGCACCAGCCGTCCTGCGAAGCACTCGTCCCCACCAGGGGCCCCCTGGCCGCTTGGTGCTGTGACCTTCCCGTGGCCGGCAGCACCGCAGCTCTAAAGAAAAGCAGGAAGCCCGGGGCCAGGGAGCCAGGAAGCCGCCAGCCCCACGAGGGGCCAGCCGCAGCCCCCGGTTGTGTCGGGGGAAGCCCAGCTAGGTGGCATTGAACGGGCATGAAGCAGTGGGGTTTGCCCACGAGGGCCTGGCCGCTGGCAGATGTGGGGCTGGGGTCCCCCCACATGCCCAGCATGGGCTCCATGAGCCCCAATGCTTCCTCAGGGCCTTGCTGGGATAAAAGCAGGAGGGAACTGCGCAGGGGCAGGGGGGTCTCCTCAGCCCCTTCCCACTACCCCAGGCCCCGACCGTCGCCCAGACAGGCGACAGGGCTCAGAGCAGCCATCCCCGACACGCACGAAGGGGCTGGCATGCCCCAGGAGCCACAGCCCCCTGCTCAGACAGGCCTCTGCTTTTATAAGATGGAATGATTTCTGATTTTATCAGAACATCCTGAGGCCAGCCGGCCCACGTCACCCTGCCAGCCTGCACTGGCTGGTGAGGAGACATATTGCTGCTCCCAGCCCTTGGAGACCAGAGGTGTCACTGCCACGGACCGCCCCAGAGCCCACCCCAGGGTGTCAGAGACCCCTTCCCAGCAGGTTCAGAGTGCAGGAGGCAAACTGAGACGCGTGCAAAGCCGTGGAACAACAGCCCTGCCTGAACTGGCAGCCCTTGAGCCCCATCCAGCAGGCAGCAGCCCTTCCCCTTGCCAGACAGGCCAGCAGTGAGCTCCTGCCCCTGCAGCGGAGGACGAGCAGAGCAGCCAGAACAACCACCCCCAAGGAGCTCTGGGGACACATCTCGTGCCCTGGCAGCAAGGAGAGGGGCCAGATCCTCCCCGCACGTGGGAGAGACAGAGGGATGTGGGCTACTTTCGGGTGCCTGCGGCTGGGACTTCGTGCACAGCCCAGGGCAAGGAAGAAGAGCAGAGAGGGGATGCTCGGGGCTCTGCTACCAGGTCAGCGCCTGACATACTCCCAGGAAACACAAACTCGGAGCTGAGTCAGAGACCTGGAACACGCCAGTGGTTTGGCAAGAAATTGCAGCGAGGAGCAGGCAGCTGCACACCAGCCGCTGCCGCACGTACCCACCTCGCCTGGGGCAGGAGACCCCCTCGGTCTGACAGCGGTCACAGTGGAGAAGCAAAGAAACATTCAAATCCAGCCAACAGCTGATTTTTTTCCCCTGAACATCACAACAGCGTCACACGGCATCTACATGTTCCTGCGCGCAACCTCTCTGCCGCACAGAAGAGGGGCTGGGAGATGCCAGCGGAGACCTGGGGAGGAGGCTGGGGCCCTGCCAGCAGGGAGAGAGGGGAGGCAGGATCCACCACCGAAGCCACCTAGCCCTCCACCGAAGTCCTTACCACATACTCCATCGCCGGCGGAGGGCAGGGCAGGGCAGGCCCCAGGCAGGGAACAGAAACACACAGCCCCTCTCGTCTGGCACTCCAACCTGCGGTTCGGGGACAAACAGGGAGTTAGCCAGCCCTGCCCTGGACCGCCGAGGCAGTGGCCCTGGCGCCAAGAGGCAGACCCTGCTCCTCCTCGCTGACCACAGGCAGATGGGGCTGTAGGAGCCATACAACACGCTGCCAACACAAGGGGTGAGAGCGCCAGGGAAGCTTCCTGCTTCCCATCCAAGGGAGGACAGTGCTGGGATAGGAGCATGAGGCTGAGCCTGGCTCTGCTCAGACCTCGCCCACACCGGCAAATGGTGTCAAGGGCTGAGAGTCTCTCCATGACCCGACAAGTGTCGGAGCCCATCCCTACCCAGCCCCAAAACCAGTGCCCAGAGGCCACACACAAGCAGGAAGAGCAGAGACAGCCCAGAAGGGCAGAGCTTCCCCCTCCTGCCCACCTGCCACCCCCTCAGCTAGCACCCCACTGCAAAAGAATGTGCAGAGCCCCTGGGGCTGTGGCCCCCTCCTCACCAGGGGAGCAGTGAAGAAGGGAGAGGGGAGCCAGGAGGGGGAGAAAGCTCTGTGAGGGGAAAATAAGGCAAGTGAATGAGGAGCAGCTCCAGAGCCACTGCCCTTCTCACTCCCACAGCCCAGACGATGTGGTTGGGGCCAGGCCACCGAGCAGCACAGGGCAACAAACATGATTTACTTCCTTGCAGCAATTGTGCCCTTATCTGGGGCCTGCAAAGGCTGTGCCGGAGCCCACGTGGGCGCTAACGCGATTAGCTCAGGAGGCAGTGAGATAAGGAGGGCCCCGCTCAGCAAGCACAGTGGCACAGATCAGCCCTGGGCAGGGCCTGGCAGCACCATGCCAGGTCACTCACTACCAAGCAAAGGCAACGACGAGGCCCTTTGGACACCAGGAGCCGAGGTTGGCAGCAGGGAAGGAGGATCGGGACCCCGACCTGGGTGCTCAGCTTCACTGAAGCCTCCATGGGACCCAGCTGTATCCCCACTGAGGAGGGGACACTACCCTGCACAGCTCCCAGGGGCACAGGTGACCCGGCCACAGCGCTCCTCCACCAAAGGACTACGGGTGGATCCTCAGTCCCCGTTCAGCTGGGAAGAGACGGCATCTTCAACCCTCTGGAACAGACCGAGGCCAGGGCAACCCTAGGGAATGCTGCCGAGAGCTGCCCTTTGCCCACAGGCATCCACAGCGCCAACCCAGCGGGCAGGGCCCGGGTCACATTCCCTCAGGACCCAAGTCCAGGGTCTCCCTGGGCCAGGGCAGAATGCAGGTGACCCTATCCGAGAGATTCAACTGGAGAAACAAGAACAGCCTGCAAGGGACGGACAAAACACGCTGCCGGAGGGAAGGCAAAAGCCTGCAAGGGGGAATGTCTACCCCTGTCCACAACAGCCAGGTCTGCTCCAGATACTCTCCCCCTGCCTTCCTCCAAGGCATCAAAGCACAAGCAGGCTGAAGGCAAGATGGCAGGAGAGCGCACCCAGGCACCACAGAGACCAAGGATCCCTCTGAACCCAGCTGGTGCCCCATCCCTGCTGGGGGTCATGCCAGTCTAGGGTCCAGGGCTTTTCCCCAGGCCCCAAGAGCACCCCCGGAGCTGGCCTCACTCCCGTGCACCACACCGGCACACGGTCCTGAGCGCCCGGGACGGGGTGACCCGAGACAGAGCCCAGTGAGCGTCTCTGGGCACGTACAGCGGCCGCCACACCAGGGGAGGGTCCAGGGCACCGGAGCCACCCCGAGCCCTGAAGGCGACCAAGCAGCTGGCACGGCCCGGCACCGCCCCCGGCTGGGCCGCCCAGGGGAGGGGGCCGGGCCCGC